GCCTGAATGTTTAAAGTGTTAATTACGGCGGTAGTTGATCAGGGCCGAGGGGGTGCGTTATGAAAACCGGAAACGTTCCCTTACCTGTACATTCTCTTCTATCCAACTGCGATATATGTAGATTAAAAACTTTGATCAATTAACTGCAACATCTGGTGAGTAGAGTGAAAAAAGTATATGCCATCTTTTGCTCGTCGACCTGTTGCGAAAAAGTAAATGTTTTTTTAGCAAGGGAAATTATGGAAGGCAAACAATAATAAGTCTTTTTTGCAGTTTGTACAGCAAATTTTCACCGACTCGTAGCGTGCCGTTTGCCGAACTATTTTAAGCAGGCTTCTCGGCATGCTTAGGTAAACATGACCCACCTTTACATAGGCCTATATGATAGAGTATTTCTTTTATGAGCAGATGGCGCTGAAGAAATCTGGTATTAGATTGGTTTTTCATACATATATTTTTCAATGACAATGGTAAGGAGACAAACTGAACCCCATTTCTATCTACGATATAGGTAGCTTTGGGCAATTCTCAACCGACTCTTGATCTGCATTAGCCACGTCTATGCTTTATAAATAAATCATCATTTTTACCGGAAAGTTACATATATGCTTAGAAAGTGGAGTTAATAGCTATTTAATTTAAATAAAAATTTTCGTCTCTGTTTATCAAATCTTATTTGACCTATCCTGTAGTAGCTTAGGCCTACCAGCGATTTTTTTTCTAGAAATGTTAGTTCTATGAATAAATAAGATAAAATTACATTCTTTAACAATAAGCATAGGGATAGACTCTTCTCTTTAACTTTTTTATAGTGATCCATCACCCCTACCTAATTCATTTCACTTTTCAACCAATACCCTCTTATAATTCAAATAAAACCAACTTTCTTTCCTTCCTACCATACGTCTAATCCTATGATCTCATCTATATATAACTAGGGAAACAGTGCTCTACCAACAATATAACATATAATTTGCATTTAATATGAAAGAAAAATAGAAATAGAATAGAATACAAAAAGATAAGTTAAAGAGGAAATTTTTAATTATTTCCTTGAAAATATCCATCTATTTTTGTACTCAATTTCTTTCCTTGTTGTTTTTCTTCATCTTCTGCACGTATAGCCAAGTTTTTTTCTATTCCTACTTTTATATATGTTACAAAATATACTAAATATGAAAAATTTAACATCTTAGATTTAGCGTACGATATACATTTTAAAAAATTAATATCTATAACGATTTGTTTTATTTACATATAAAAATCCCATAAAAATATATATTTATAGTTATTTTCTAATAGAATACAGTATATACAGTATATATATATATATATATATATATATTCATTCTCTATCTATGTGAATACAATATTTAATCTATCTCTTTACTTATTATCAATATTATTCGGATGTTAAATTAACAATACCCCTCTGGATGTAATCAACTTTAATAGAAGAGCCTTTTTATGCTGACTATAGAATGGATAATCCATTAATTGGAAGAATTCTATGGTGTATCAAGGAACGTTGGAAATTTTAGATCAGAGGGTGATCTTGGTTTTCCCCAGTGAATAGATATTGTTGGCGTGGCGTGCTTATTATCTTTTTTTGTAAGATACTACACTTAATTCATTCTGTTTTATAATACATAAATAATGTTGAAACAAACTTTCATTTGGATAGTTAATTACTTCAATTAAAAGACACTCTTGTTAAAGTCACGTTCGTTCCTAAAATATAAATCAATGAACAAGTAAATGTCTAGATTTGTGTTTTCCTACATCAAAAGAAAGGTACCAAAAGGGATAATAGAATTGAGAAAAATGTACTTACCAGCGTCTATCATGTTCATATATTCTAGATGACTTACGTAAAAAAAGAAAAAAAGAAAATAAAACGTCACAAAGAAGAAAAGCAAAGAAAAAAAGGGAAAGAAATACTACTTATTTTCTTTTTCAATCCCCGTTCCGATCGCTCATTAGTTTCTATACAAAGCCAAATGCGAACTATTGAAAAAGCTGACGTTTTTTTTTAAGTTGAGCTAAATTTTGAAAAGATTACGGTTTAATTATGTTGCAGGTTATAATTTCTAATATATACTACTTATTTCCTTCAGATATAAAAACAACCACTTGAAAGGATGAGATAGACAGATATTTTACAAATGCCGAATTCTTGCAGAATATTGTCATTTTTACAAGACCGCTTATCTAGATTGCTGTCAATTAAGGGAGAGAAAAAAGCTTAAGATTAATTTGCTCTTACTAAACGATCTTTTTCTCAATTTTCCTTTTCTTTAACCGCCTTTATTATAATTTAATGGAGATGTATAGTTAATAAAAGCTCTAATTTTTCTTTTATGTTGCTACGTGACTCGCTTAACTGCACCAATGAACGAAATGAACAGCTGCAATATAAACCTATTAGCCGGGCGCTCTTTTATATTCCACAGGCATTTTTATGCCTGCAATATACATAGTAGAAACTGCTTACTGAAGCTCTGAAGACAGGAATATCAGATCAATCTTTCGCCTCTTTCCTCTTCCTGCCTAAATTTATTTAAATAATTTAACCAATAAAAAACACATTTACAATTTTTATAAATTGTGAATATATTTATCATAACTTAAGTAATCACAAACATAACGCTTCTATTTGTCGAATAAATTGTATTTGGGAACATAGTATCCAAACACAAATTACCAAGAGAGCTACTACTAAAACTTGGGTCACATTAAAATCACGTGATTTATTTTTCAGTATAAATCCTTAATCCGAATATAGTTGCAAAGTCAATGTAAAAAAAAAAAATAAATGTATTCACTACTATACTTATTAATATGCAAATTAGACGGACAAAGTCAAGATTCAACTACCATGAATAAACTGCAAAATAAAAAAAAAGAAGAAATTTCATATTTGGTTTGGATAAAGGTACGTACGGAAATGATAGTAACTCAAATATTCCCGTCATATATTGGTTCCTTTTAGCTTAAAAGAAAATTTCCAAGTTTTTTTTTATATAAGTTGATTCTCTGATGCCTAAAGTAATTTATGGAATTTATATATCGCCTTTTATCTCGAAACAGAAAAAATAAAAAAAATAATAAATCTATAAAAACAAACAAACAAACAAATAAACAAACAAACAAATACAGATATAAAATGTAAGAGGGAAAGTCTTTTAAAAATTCATTTTTCTTTCCTTCGTCATTTTTTCATTAACAACTTGAAAAAAATATATATATATGAATATGAAAGTTTATAGAATATATGAAAGAGCTTTTGGATCAAAAGCTGCCTGTCTCCTTCGATAAATTATCTTAGTATATAGAGCACTCAAGTTCACGTAGAAAGGCAACATTTTAAAGAGTGATATGAATTGCATTTATTTCTGTGAAAAATGCAAATAAAATATATAATTTATTTACATTTAGTATTATTCAAAATACTGTCTATGTACTGAATGTAACACATTTCTTTTACGTGTAGTAAAATAAAAAAAATGGTGCAGATGAGAGACGAGGTTAGAGAAAATAAGATACTGATACACAATTTCGTCAGTTTTAGGATTCTGAAAACGTTCCCGTTGAAATTCTTGATAAGTTTACATCAGATATCTCTATCAATTCATATTTCTATTTGTCAAGTGTACTTTTTCTTGTTTTTTTCCTTTTTCATCTAATTCTCTATCTGTACTGTATGTATTAAGATGAACTCTTATAGGTTCTTTTTATTTAATTTACATTTTGAAATACAGATGTCACTTTATGATAGAATTATTTCAAATGAAATGAAACCTTGACAAACTTATTGCTAATTGATATTATACTTTGCTTTTGAGTGACAATCTTATATTAAACACGTAATAATACAAGATTAAATACTTTTTGTTCTATAATAAAGAAAAAGAAATAATAAAATTAGCGATCCATCATAAAAAGGCATTGTTGACAATAGTTGAAAATGTTTAAAAGAGATAAAACGCTAAACTTTAATTGTTGTGTTGATGGGAGAAGATTCTCTTGATACTACTTCCAAACAAATTTCTCTTGTTAAGTATATGATTAATTAACTAACGCTCATTTTCATCTTTTATTAAATTTTACCTCTATAACGTTGCTTAGAGATATAAAGAATCTACTAAATCCTTTCCAAGATTGCTTTTATATGTTTATCGTGAGAAAACAATCATTAATATACTTACATATCATGTACTCACCTGTTTTAAAAGAAGTCTAAGTGATTCTTATAATGAAAGATTGATAAAATATTTGATTTAGAAAGCAGAGGCAATAGCATAAGGAAAAAAAAGAGAGAGAGAGAGAGAGAGAAAGAAAGATTTTAATGAAAGAAATTATTGTACTTGTTTATCTTTGAAGACTTCAAGTAGCTGGAAATTCTTGTTTTGAAGCAGAAGAAATATTTCTCCAGGAGTATGATTAAAAGTTGAAAAGAACTTTGAATACCTGCACGAATGAGTTCTTTTCATTCTCTAGCGCCATCTGTCTTAAATGACTGACGGAAAAGAGCCTTTTTTTCTTTATATATATTTATATATATTCTTTTTTCTAAGTTGTTCCAGTAGGGTTTGTAAAAACGATAAACATCATACTAATATACAGGTGGCGCTTTCACTAAAAAAGTACGGAATAGAAGGAAAAAATTCTGAAGTATGATAATAAAGGGACGACCTCTAGGATGGGTATACGTGTAAAATTACGCGATTGGTTGATAAGTAATACTTTCTTTACCCAAAGTAAACAAGCTGATTTTTTGAGAGAGTGGGAAATAAGGTATTAGACAACGAAAACTTAATTTTCTAATCAATCTATCTAAAATATTTTTTGTTGCGTATATTCTAAAGAACGAGCAATTTTTCAATTTTCCTGCCTGGATACGCGCCAATTTCATTTAAGTGTACAAGGCGGTGATAAACTAGCCATTATGCAGACTAATTTGCATAGTAGGGGGACAAGTGGTGCCACCTAGCTAGCGCGTAAACTTCTCGAAAGGATGGAGAGCGCCGTGAACGGAAAGGAGGAGATGGGTCGACCAAAGGAAGAAGATATTGAAGATGAAAGTGAATTGACCGGACGAGGTCAAGAAGGCCGAGGTCAATGGACGAATAAAATGGACTTCATTTTCTCTTGCATCGGATACTCGATTGGTTTGGGAAATGTTTGGAGATTTCCTTACCTGTGTTATAAAAACGGTGGAGGTTAGTCAAAATATTTTCTAAACTATAAAAGAATACAATTCTAGAACTTTTTACATTTTTTTGCTTAGTAAACTGTAGTTAGTAACAGCATTCTGTCAATTTGTATAATTGAAGTGAATACAAACTTTTATTGCTGTTATTAGGAGAGCATTTTTTGGCTTTACCTTACTTCATACTTGATTTCTTTACGTTTTGCATTTTTTTAACTTTGCATCTTTAATTCTGTTATTTTCTTCTTTCCCGTTTGATTTTCTTTAAAGAAATGTTCCAGACATATCTGACTTCCAAAAAACATATCTTTTTAGTCTTTTCTATACAGTATGTTTAAATTTCTTTATTTTCATATACAATTATTTAAATATATAATATATTTTTTATCGAATTTATAAAAGAGAAGCCTGGACGGATTTGTCCGCTTCGAGTTCGCCTAGAGCGTTCTCTTATCGACGTTCCTGAAAGACAAGTCGGGGATAAGCCGAACGCCGAAAAATTCTTTAAACGTCCCTCGTTTTATTTACTACAAAAAAAAACGCCTTACTTAAAAAAAAATTCACTAAGTCTGTGAAGAGGGAAACGGAGATAATTTGAGAAAGTACATGAAAGAGATAGAGACAGAAGGGGAATGAGAGAGAGAGAAGGAGAAAGAGGGGGAGAGGAAAAAGAAGCGAGAGTAAAGGGGAGTAGGAGAAAATCGAAAAAGTACGGAAAAGACATTAAAATTGTTAGAGTGAAAAAGAAATATATAGAAGGAAACATAGACACTAATAGTGAAGAGAGAAATGGTAAGCTAGGGAGAGAGTTTGAGGAAAAGGGTAGGGGGTGAGAAAATGATAGATAGAAGAAAAACGTATTGAGAAAAAAGCAAACTAAAGAGATAAAGAGAGAAAAAAATAAGGGGATAGAGCGATAGTGAGAGAGGAAGAGAGAAAGAAAGAGAGAGAGATAGAGAGAAAGAGAAAGAATTGATATAAAATAAAGCATGAGACAAACAGACTCATAGAGACACAGAGAGAGAATATAAAAAGCAAAAGAGAGATAGAGAGAGAAGAAGAAGTGAAGAAAAAACTCAACATCTTTGTAGGAAAGAGGGGGAGCGCCTAGCTAAATTACTGCAGACTAATTGCGGTTTGCGGCGACTGTTACTTTCCTGTTGTGGCGTAATTCGGGAAAGGAGCAGATATAGCTTTACCTATATATTGTAAACAATTTGCAGCCGTGTAGCAAGTGTTTTTCCTGCTGTTCCAATCCATTTAATTCCAACTGAACAATATATTCTTTCTTCTGAAGCATTTAAAGTAGGTTTTTAAAAGAATATCGGGCGTTTATGTATTAATATCTGTATCAATAGAAAAGTAGACATAGTAGGAAATTATGATATTTCTAGTGTAAACACTTATCATTGTCTCTCAAGGGATTTTCTCCTGTGCGCTTTACTCCACTCATTGAATCAGGTGTAACACTAACGAGGACATGCAAAGGACGTATTTTTGCACTCTGCTCCATCTTTTAACATAGATAAACTCTTTCATATAAAATTGACTTTAAAAATATTACTTTTCCAAGATTTCTCTCTAATTATAGTCATTTTTTTTACCCTAAAATTCTTCTCGAATCTTAAAAAGAAGCAAGAAAATTTCGTTGGTTTTTTAAGGGCTTCCATTCTATTCTAACAATTTCATTAGACAATTATATATTTGTTTTTCTCTTTGCTTAAAAAAATACTATTATCTTAATTTATTGATAATCAATCAAGTTTATATTTTAAATCTGCAATAAATTCTTTTTCCAGGAGCATTCCTCATTCCCTATATCCTTACCCTAGTCACCGCTGGTATTCCTATGTTCTTTATGGAATTGTCTATAGGCCAATATCTGGGTATAGGAGGATTGGGTATATATAAAATCTGTCCGATTTTCAAAGGTAAGCTGTTAAATATAAAGTATTTTTTTTGCCCGTTAGTAGCTGTTCGACTAAACAAACTGTAAAGCTTTCAAGCCTTTTTGCAATTGTTTTCACATGTCTAAACTGTAAACGCCTTAATAGTTTATTGGTTACCAAGCTATCCGCTATGGTTTTCAAAGTGTATAGTTTATCGCATACGATTGTATATATATTTTTTCTACGCGAGAGATGGACTATGATCTACCTATCTCTTGACCCACTAACCTAGTTATTAAACGTTATAAATCAAACATAAATATAAAATATACTTTATGTACACTATGCACTTGTCAATAAATGCATAGATATTGCACATTTAAGTATTATATATATATATATAGTATTAAGGAACTAACTAAAGGTTGATAGTGTTATATTATTTAAGAAAAAGCTACCCTGGAAAGGGATCTGTCAAAAATAGGGTAATTTCTTCAATGGGACATTGTTAGGTTAGGTTTTTCTATGTTCCTACAAAATTACTTATTCATTATCATTAAAAAAAAGTAACAAAGTTTATTAATTAAAGACAAAACAATATGCAATTTAAAAGAATTTAAAAACAGCAATTGATGGTTGTTTATCTAAATATTTAACTTTTGTAAACTGCAAAGTCATTTTCGTATAATTTACCTACACTACATAGTTTATATAAGTATTGTATATATTAAGAGATAAAAAACGATCATTAAATTCACACTCTTAAGTAAAGTTGTTTAATATAAGTAAGGAATATGTTTGCATAGAGTATTCAATTTCTTTATTTATTATATACAAATGTTTTCTTTTTCTTTATATAACACATTTTAAAAGATATATAAAGTGGACCTTTTCATCGTTTAGAGTAATTTGCATCTATTTTTTTAACAATAAATGCGGAGTCAGTTTGTGATAATCGTCTCATCTCTTAGGATTTATTTTATGAAGAATCGAAAAAACGATATAGAGAAAAGGATTGATAGGGAAAGAAAGAAAAAATAAAAGAGAGAAAAAAAGAGAGAGAGAGAGAGTGAGTGAGTGAGTGAGTGAGTGAGTGACTGGCTTTTGGGGTAGGAAGGGCTTGTGGGGGCTGGAAGGGGTCAAAAGTTAAGGGGTTGTGTGGTAGGAAAAGAACAAGTGAAAAAAAGAATACTGATTTTCCTTTTTGACGCAGGAGTCGGTTACGCAGCAGCAGTAATAGCTGCATGGCTAAATACGTATTACATAGTTATATTGGCTTGGGCTCTCTTCTATCTATACCAATCATTTTCCGTCGTTCTTCCATGGGCCACTTGCGGCCATAAATGGAATACGCCAGCATGTAGATCAAAGTACCAATTGCCATGCAGGAATACAACACCGGCAAATCAGACCTGCTACTCGAATAGTTCTTTGACAAATTTTACAAGTCCAGTTGAGGAATTTTGGAAGTTTGTATTTGTTTGTAGAAAAAATAAATTCAACATCTAAATGATCCTATAAATTAGAGTAAAGTTTGTTTATTTACGTGTTCTTTACCTTTCTTTAGGAGACGAGCTTTAAAACTATCGTCTGGGCTGGATGAACCAGGAGGTATTCATTTCGAATTAGCAATTTGCCTTCTTATATCTTGGATAGTCTGCTATTTCTGTATTTGGAAAGGTGTTAAATGGACGGGAAAGGTACAAATATAATTCTATAAAGCACGCACGCGTTGAAAGTATTAAGTAAAAGTTTATTTATGCTGCTAAGTAGAATAAATAAAAAATCCGGATTCTTTTACAATTTGGGTTCGAAATAAAGTGATAATTACAAAAAGCTAAATTCCGGCATTGGGCTTATGTTTATTTTTAAGCCCTAAAATTATCTTCTGAACCCCTTTTCAATTAAATAATACACAGGTCGTTTGGTTCACATCACTCTTCCCCTACGTACTTCTCTTCGTTCTACTAATTAGAGGCATAACGTTACCGGGGGCCAAGGATGGCATTTATTTCTACGTTTACCCGGACCTTGACAGACTGAAAGACTCCCAAGTGTGGTTAGAAGCTGCCACTCAAATATTCTTCAGCTATGGTTTGGCTTTAGGAGCCCAAGTAGCCCTGGGAAGTTACAACCACTACCGCAATAATGTTTACAAGGACGCTCTGATTATATCGTGCATTAATTCCGGTACAAGCATGTTCTCCGGTTTTGTCATATTCAGCGTTTTAGGGTTTATGGCACATGAACAACAAAGGAACGTGACTGATGTTGCTAACTCAGGTCCAGGACTGGCATTCCTTGCCTATCCCGAGGCGGTGACGCAATTACCTATATCGCCACTTTGGTCCTGTCTGTTCTTTATCATGCTTTTCTTCATCGGTTTAGACAGCCAGTTTTGCACTATGGAAGGCTTTATTACAGCTTGTGTTGACGAATGGCCGAAATTGTTGAGGAAAAGGAAAGAAATTTTCATTTTGATTGTATGCATTCTCTCTTACTTCGTCGGATTATCAATGGTAACGGAAGTAAGTAATTAGATTCAATTAGCTTAATAGCAACTTTAAATTAATTGTTACCTTTTAAATTACGGAAGCTATGGAAAGTAGCAAATAAAGAGAAAACAAAAAAAAGCTAACATTTTTTCTCCCTTATACAATTTATAAGATTAGAATATTTGAGAGATTATTTAAATAATCCAAGGATATAAGTAATTTGTTATGATTATCAATTCGCCATTTCGATAAGTCACTTACAGGGAAAAATAACAAAAAAGCGAAATAAAAAGAGTAGCTCCTCAGTCATAACTCTAAATACAATAAAGCAGAAGTTAATAAAGAGGAAAAACAAACTAAAACCCATCTGTTTTCTCGTTGATCAATAGAAATCTGGCAGTTTATTGAGGCAAGATTTTTTTCATAAAATTCCCAGCTTTCGAGTAATTGATGGCTTTAGCCGAAAAATAAATTACCCTCTCTCTTATATTTTACTCTCACGACAGGGTGGAATGTACGTATTCGAAATATTCAATACTTATTCGGCAAGTGGAATGTGTCTATTGTCTCTCATCTTTTTCGAATGCATAGCATTTTCATGGAGTTATGGTGATTGACTCATTAAGAGACTTTTAATTTTGATAATAATCTTTTTTCTTTTAAGGCGTCGGAAGATTTTATGATAACTTAAAAGATATGATTGGCTATTATCCCTGTTTCTGGTGGAAAATATGCTGGAGTTTTTTAACACCTGCAATTTGTATGGTTCGTTAATCTAACCCAAAAGTTGATTAATTAACCACTCAATTACCTAATTACTTAGGGGGTCTTCATTTTCCGACTAGCTTCTTATACTCCTATAAAATATGGAAAGTATGAGTATCCGACTTGGGGAGAGGCTGTTGGTTGGCTAATGGCTCTTTCATCCATGCTAGTCACTCCTGTATACGCTATTTATATATTTATTGTAACGCCTGGCTCATTTCGGGAGGTTTGTCTTCTATCAGATCTTAAACACTTAGCGAACATTTCAGGCCCTTAAAGTCTTAGTTTTATAATTCAGATGTACTTTGTGGCATAGAACCAAAGCATGTATGTAGCATCTTAAAGAATTACGGATTAAAACAGATCTCGTAAAGAGATTATCCTTTCGATTGCTACTTTGTCTTTTAAAAGAGGGATGGCGGTTTAAGAAAAAGATACGGGGAGATAGGAAAAAAATCTTTATTTATCATTTATTTCCAAAAACGATAAAATATTTCCAAAACATTAAGTAGAATATCAAATAATAAAATGAAATGGAAAGAAATACAAAACTTCATAAGGCTATTTCTAATGCTTTCATCCTTCCTTCTTTAGCGCTGCAAACTACTCTTCAGACCAGACGTTGACGAACCGATTAAAAGAAATCGAAGGCAATACATCCAGATGCAGCAAAACCCTTACAATGAACAAAACGTGACAGCTTTGTGAAAAATACAAGTCTTTTCCTCTCTCTCTCTCTCTCTCTCTCACTCTATCAGTCTGTCTATCTATCTACTTATCTGTCTATACGTTTACCTATCTATCTATCTGTCTCTCTGTCACCGTTTTTTCGTTTGGTAATCTGAGTAATACCTTTAAAGAAGTGTCCGAAGTGGCAAAACTTTAAGTAAAAGGAAAAGTTATCAGTAGCTATTAAACATTTTAACCTCGTAAGATTTGAAGAAATGGAGTAGATTAACTAGATTCAGAAATTGTTTTTCCTTTTTTAATTGAATTTCAAGACAATCTCATTTAATTATAAACAAAACTTTAAAGTATTATTAAATTGTTTTAAATTGGAAAAAAAAAGCAAATCCTCTCTTTAACACATCAAAAAAAAAAAGAAAAAAAAACAGGAAAAGGAGGAATTTTTCAAGTAAATCCTTATCAAATAAAACCAATTATTTCTCTGAACACAACCGTTTTTGTCCTCTAACCACAAATATTCATTTGAGAATATATACAGCATAAATATATAGTTGATATATATGCAGTATATAGGAATTAAATACAGTATATGATATTTTAGAAAAAGAAGCAAGTATTAACTTACAGAAAACTTAAAATTGTTGTTTTTATGTTGTAAAAAGTTTAAATAATCTTTAAGTATCATTAATAAATTAACTAATAAACATAATATAATATTTAAATAGGAGTTTCTACTGTAAAAATTTGTTATGCACGTAGCGTTTAATTATAATATTTTCAATTGTTTTTTGAACTAAAAACTAATTTCAATACATTTTAGAAAGTCACCAAAAAAAATGATAATAAAACAAAATATTATTCTTTTTTTCGTGGAAGTTTTTTGCTTTAGTTATATTTTTTCATTCAGAATAAAAAAAATGTTGATAATTTTCCATATTTGAAGATTATTTGACAAACTAGAAATCTTCTCTAAAGTTTATGATTTTGTTGTTTTTTTTTTCTTTTTTCTCGGATAAGCAAAGTTCTGCTTGTTATTTATTTTGTTATTCTAAGTTATTCATAGTCTTTTTTCTTCCGTTCGTTAAAAATTGGCACCGTAGAGAAGGGATGTTGAACATATAAACGTGTCAACTATTTTTCCAACCGTTAATAATAGTAGCATAGATGCGGTTAGGAAGTTCGCTGAGTTCGAGTTCCTCAATGAATAAGTGCTCTCTTTTACTAATAAAGAATTAAAAAGGTAGTTAATTTCAAGTTTATTAAAAATTTTGTTATATGAATAATAGATGAAACCGCCTTTTCCGGGAAATAGTCTTATTATTTGTCGAGGAGCTCTGCAATTAGTATAGTTAGTTCTAAAAAATAGATCAATTTATGCTCCTTTGTTAAAATATATATTATGGAATTTAACATAATATATATATACTGCATATATATATTTATATATAAAGAATTAAAGATATCGTATTCTGAGGGAAATAATCGCATATAGGAATATCAAATAGCATCTTATCGGCGTTTTTTCTCCTATCCGCGAAGAAACTCCCTCGAGTATAAGCTTTCTGCAGAAAAGATTAACAGGGATAGTATCATCTGTTAACAATAAGTTAGATTTTGAGTAATACCAGTTTCCTTTACTGCATTAGTTGCTTGTTAGTAAAGCTTATTTCAAATTTATTTTTCCACACTTCTTTAATTAAATTACTATATATCTCGGATAAAGGCGGAGATAAGTGAAAATATGAGAAAATCGAACTTACATAATGTTCCGAAGACAAGCTCTGTTTGATTCGAGTATATCGTTCTGTTTCTCCGATTTTCTGCTCTTGCTCGAATAAAATACTTAACACGAGGCTTTAAATTGTAGAGACTAAATTCTCCAGCCTTATCGTTTATAGGACCAATACTCTTCCAATCGAAAGATTTCTCAGTTCTATACTGAATATAATATTTCTTCATATCGCCACTCAAGCCTTTAGCCTCTACTAAATATCTTTTCATAGGCCTATACGGATCGTTCCTTATACTGACATAGAAATTGCTATCACCCAACTTAACTTCTTCTATATCACTGGGTGATTGTATGCCGTGAGAATAAACGGCTATTACTTGAACTTTATAAGTAGCAGGCGATTTCAAGTTCTTTATTATGGTATTTTGAGAATTAATTTTAACGGATTCTCTCCATCCCACATTGCTCTTGGATTCTTTATATTTTACAAAATACTTATGAGTTGGTTTTTTCGATCTCCATGAAACGTTTATAGAATTTTGGTTTGGAATAGCGTGTACAATTACTTTTGGACCGGAAGGAGCTGCAAACATAAAATGCTTTCAATTTCAGTTTCAAATTATATTAATATTCGTTTCACAGATTGTCCTTTATTGAAATAAATCGTTTATTCTAAGGCTCTTAAGATTTCCTAGTATATATTTGTATTTGTATAACTTTAGATAACTTCCCTTTGTTTTTCTTGTATACAAAGAAAGAGAAATCTACTTAGTTAAAAATTCTTCTTCGAATTTATTCAGTTTATTAAAATATACAATCGATCTATTTTGCTTACAAAGAGAAATATACAAATACCTCATCTTAAATAATAATATTGTCTATAAATTGACTTGTGCTGCCATCTATTGAAGATAAAAATAAATGCTACTTACGGGGTACAGTTTTTTCTATAATTTTCCTAATGTTCCCTTCACCAACCGATGTGTATGCTCTTAAAGTAATATCATATGATTTTCCAGGTCGAAGATTGGTTATATTATACTGAGTAAAATTCGCTTTTACTTTCACAGATACCTTATTAAAATCAGCTTCGCCTTGTTCTGTAAGAGGGAAAAAGAAATGATAATATACACAAAAGCAGGCTTTTATAACCCCAAGGGCAAAAATATTAGAGAAGAAAATACTAAGCCCTCCCCGTTAGGTGCAAATCATATTGTCAGGAAGAGCTCTCCCTCCGACACTCCCGACACACCCCTAGTCGTTCTTTTATCACTTTTCATAATATATATTGCACTCTAGCGAAATATTTTACTCTTTTATCTATCTCAAAGCCTACTAGTTTGATCATTGTATAACTAGTTCTAAATTTTCAACATAAAATACTAAAAAAGAAGAATAAAGAAGAAATATGGTTTTTTATTTCTTAGTAAATCATTCTGAAGAAAGGAAAAAGAGCTTTTCTCTGAAAAGTCCTTGCATCGTAATTATCTACCCCCTAGGAAATTTGGAAACATTATAATCAAGCAAAAATTTGAACTAGAAATGATAGAATCAATTCTCTATTGAAAGGTTAATTCTTTTTAACTATTGAACAAACAGTTTCAATTATTTATTCTGACATTTCAAAATTTTAGTTCATCCCCTTTTACTAATTGCCTTATTTCCTCTTCGTAATATTTTTTCAAGATCACTGGATTAAGTAATATCTCACTCTGTCTCTCTTTCTCCGCTGTATCTATTGTACAGGTACTTTATATACTGTACACATTAGCTTGCGATGTATATAAAGTATACGTTATCATGAATCAATATTAATAAACTACGACGGTAGTTCTTACTACATTTTTCACTTTCCTCTTTCCCATTGCCCCCGTCTTTACTCTCTTTTCTTCTTAGGCGTACTTTTGTAATTGAATTTTAGGAATACTAACAATAATAATATAATTAGATTTTACGGCTTTACGATTTCTGATAAAACACAAATTATATATATTAGATGTCGCCACTGTATAAAAGAAATTAAAAAAAATAGGGGAGAAGAAGAAATCAAGGTCACAAATGGAAATCTCTCTGCTAACGTTTATACTCGTTATCCCAGTTACTTAACTAAAACCGCCCAAAGAAGAATCAAAGCACTCTTTTATGTCGCTTATTGCTATTTTTAGTATGATATGATAGATGCCAGCTATATAAGAATAAAGTAGAAAGAATACAACATGTTTATATGATTTTTTTATGTTCTAAATGAAATGATACTTTTTTGAACAGATATATGAATAAGAAATTTTTTAAATTTAATTATATATCAGAATCATGCTTTGCTTGTTTGGTATCTCTTCTTGTACCAATAGACTGTATACTATATATGAATATACAGTATAGATACATCTCTAAGGCTATATGGTTTACACTGTGATGAAGTATTTTGATAAATTTATAAATATTCATTAACTTTCGTCGTATCTATTTTATGGGCACTTTAAAGCTATTACATTTTTTCACCAAAACACTGGTATACATCTTTTAGACATTTTAAACGATACACGATTGAAAAGACTAATAAAATACCAGTACGACTCTTTCTATTTCCTTTCCGTGCCGCTAACGACGCGAAAGCACGTGCAAATTACGCTATTCCTTCATTCTAACTTAACATTTTCGTCAGTAATCAGAACTAATATCGTCTGTTACAACGCAAAACGACACTTACGCTTATAAGAGAGAATGTAACCTCTAATTACACCTCTCGGTTCTTCTGGTGGATACCACTGAAGTAGTAGCCACATAGCACTTCTCCTTTTGGCATAGAATACAACGATTTCTCCGGGCACTAAAAAAATTTTCAAACATAAATTAATTTTATCAATCAAACAATTAGCAATACACAAAATATAAAGAAAGTATCTTTGAATTTCGGTTTGAGCTGACACTTGACCTGTTGTTTAAACGTATTAAAATATTGTGTTGGCTTATAGATGTGCATACACTCACTTTCCAATAGGAACTTATGAAAAATTCAAATGTACACAATGTTTCACATAGATTAATCAATGAGCGTCTGCAAGGAAGTCAGTTATAGCTCGTTTCTATTTGGTATACTGCAGTTCAATGGATATGCTATCCCGTAATGTAAATTCTAATAATAGAACTGGACAATAGCTTGTTTAAAGATATAAATAATATGAAATATGATATCATCCAAAAGAAGAAATATTAATGTATACATATATATATATACTGTATATATATATATATATATATATATATATATATAGTCTATATATAATATATTGTACATTTTAAACAAATTAAGTAACCGTTTCTCTATAATATTGAATTTTTTTTTCTTTTCTTTTGTTTAAAATACAATACTGGTATTCTTTTGATTTCTTTGAAACTAATTATTTTCTGCTCCCAAGATTCGACAGGTATGGATTAATTATGCTTCAGATACTCTTATATTCTTACCTAGATATTTAATTTAAATAAAAAAGAATAAAATAGAATAGGAAATAATGGTTAAGAGGAGAGAAAGAGGTAAGAGTTTACAAGTAGAAAATAATTAATATAATCAAATTTTAAAGGTATAATCAATTACATAATAAATATCTTCTATAAGTAGATATTTTTCAATTAATTCATCTTATTTAAATACAAGACACGTGGAACATTGCTTATATTATGATAGCAACAAAAAAATATATATGCTTTCCTTAAAAAATCATTCATAAATATTTAACTAATAATTAATTTATTAATCTGTTTCTTTAGTAAGAGAGTAATTATTTTATCTCTTTTCTAGTATTTGTTTACTATATGGTCGATTTCTAATCGGTTTTTTTTATATAGTTTACTTTCAATGGTTGTTAAATGTCTCATCGATCCAATGAAAAAGTACTTGGCTCAAAAATTCTTCATTCTAAGCGTAAATTAAGCTTTTTTCATCTTGAAGAATTTACTCATTCATTTCTCGGAATACAAAGAAATTCACTTTGTCTTTTGATTTTTCATTTGACGGTTAAGATTTCTTCTTAAATCGTTCTTTCTGTTCCCCTGCCTCTCATTTTGTCCCTCAGCAGATAATTTTTATAAAAATATCTTGGTTTAACTGTTTACAGCGTTTTTTTATGACGCTCTTTACAATTGAGATGAAATATTAATCTTAGTTTGTTTATGATAATAAACCTTAAATAATGTCAGATACTAAAAAAAGCATGTTATTTTCTTTAATACATGCATTACTATATTGAAGAGATAGCATCACGTAGAAAGGCAATTGGTGCTGTCGGCTAATACTTCAAACAAGAATCAGCCGACGTTAATCGTTTAAAAAAGTTGTCTGGCTATCTAGAAACTCGCCTTTTCCTTTTTTTCAGATTGATACGAAATAAACATATCTGAAAAATAATTTTTCATTTAATTTGTACTCTTCAACGTTACTTATCTAAAACAAAAAAGGCCTCTGAGGAAACGAAATCAAACTTATGAAAGCTTCAAAGCTTAAGAGGGGAGGAACTACGTTGTTGACAAGAGTGTAAACGATTATCTACCCCCAGCAACGAAAAAAAGTTCTTCATACGTGGCGAGTATGAATGGATTTTGCCGCCTCTCTTGCTTTGTATTATTAACGATGCGTGAAATAAACCGTTAACGTGTATACAAATCCACCTAGGCCTATAATTTATAGTTATTTAGCTGCCCCTTAATGCGAATCACTTAACCGCAATGTTTACTCATTTTTGTAGCTACCAGGAGTCGTCGTTACCATTTTGTTTATTACTATTTTTTAAAAGGTTATTTTTATTGGATTTTACTGTTCTTTTTAATTATTAGAGTGTAATTTTTCATTACGATAGGAATAGATTTAAATTTTAAATAGCGTCTCGTTTTTAAGGCAATGACAATTAAAAATTGATTCCAAGTAAATAAAAAAAAATATTTCCTTCATTGTTATAGTAATTAAGTTAAATATTAATGAAACATGAAAACATTTCATCAACAAATAAAAAACTATAAACAATAGATTAAACATACTTTATACTTCTTTTTAATTTATTTTATATATATTAATATAGAAATTCTAACTAAAAATTTAATTATTCTTTAATTATAAATTAGTATATTCATGTTTATTCATAACTTACGAACTATACTTAATTAGTAATAATTTGAATTAAAAATATTCAACTTCTTTTAAGATTGTTTGGGAAGCCGAAGAAGGAAGAAAAATTAATTGAATGAGTCGTTAACTTGAAAGAAATATATATATATATATTGATATTAATTGCTTATGGTATACTTTCTTTTAGTGCAGTATTAGAAATTCTCTTTTCTTTTAAGTATCTTTGAAAATAATGAATAAGAGAAAGAGAACAAAAAAATGGAGGAAATTAAAATTGTATTTTCTGTTATATTTTGCTGTTGTATCATTAGTTTAATTATTAAAAGTATTTACCTAAATACTTATTGAACTTGATTGATTTATAATATTCCTTGATTATTTACTTTTATCGCTTGTTTTCATATCAAACAAAGGATATACAAAGCTTAAATATACATGTATATATCTTTATAGTTCCTATGTTCTATCTTAATTTTTTTTCTTTATATCTTTCGTACACTTCTCTCTCTCTCCTACTTTCTTTTATGTCACTTTTAAGAGAAAGTATTATTTTACTCTAATTAATTAAAGTATGTTTCTTTTTTTGAAAATCAAAGCAATCATGAATAATTAAAAAGATAGTCATATGCTCCAACTTTTATTTAATTACTGTATTGTTAGAGAATTATCAGTTATTATCTAAGGAATCAATTCCCATGGAATGGCTACTTTGGAGCATTAACTATGTCAAGCGATATCTGGTAAAAGCTTTTGAGTTGGATTACCAATAGTAAATCCCTATCTATTCAATATTAAAATAATAGCAAATATACTTAATATAAATTTTTAGATGGAATTAAAGAAAGATAGAAAAAAGTCTTTTATATCAAATAAAGATGACTTTTACCGAATGAAGGTGTGATTTAACATGATTTGAAAGATTTCCTGAAAACTATCCTTTTTCAAATGAAAGAAGTGACATTTTGAAAACACCTTAAAACTACTGATTTATGTAAAGACTAAAGAGGGCGAAAGGTCGAATTTACTCTTTTAAACGGATAGAGATATCTGTTAAAATGGGTCTAAATGGTCCAAAAATACTTGAGAATTAGCATTACTTGAAATAAAGCAATTAATGAAAGCAACCTTTTGCCTTCTAATTAATTATTCTAAATCTAATTTAAAGCAGGCTCAATTATTCTCAAATGTCAACCGGAATTCATATAATTTCGACTAAACCTACCTCCTTCCAAAGTTGTAAAGCTAACGCTGTTACTTGCAGGACCTGAATATTTCATGTTCATCACCCGGACGACGGCAGTGTAGGTGATGAAAGGCCTCAAATTGATTACTTCACCATTAGTTTCGTGATTTTTGCTAAAAAACGTTTTCGTTTGGTTGCAAGCAAGATGATCTCTAAGTAGGATGTTATGAGATATCCGTTTCTTGCCTCCGCGTGGCCAGAATTCGATCTGCGATTAATGAGAAAAAGTGCTAATTAATTCTTTCTCGTTGAAAATTATCATTCAGCTCGTTATCTAGTGAACTCCGTGAGAGTTTTTAAAAATCTTTCACCGCCTACTTTCACCTACTCATTGATATACACTTCGGCATTATGTTTTTTGTCTTCCAATTTTGTCTTCTTTTCTAAAATATCTCTCTTATTGCCTTTTATAATTAATTCAGTTATCTTGAATTTAACGATGTGCGTTATTTAATTAATCCTCAATAAATTTCCAATTAGCTCAAGTTTAATATTAAAATAAAGATGCATTAAATAAAACAATACATCTTGTTTCTATTTTTTATTTAAATTATGCTGAAAACTTTATGTCTGTATGAAAATACAGTATTATATTGTAATATATATATCTTATAGATATAGTGTGTTTCCATAAGTAGTCTTATTTTTACTATGCGAATGTTCTTAGAAAAATAATCTGTTTAATTTAGAAAGGCATCCCTAGAAAATTGGTACTAAAGTCATTTATTTTTATATTCTCTTTCATCTTTAACTTCAAGTAGCTGTTTAATTAATTCTTTCTTTTAATTTGGTTCAGAAGCTAAAATATTTAAGGGATTCATATTAAAAAAAATAAACACTATAGCCTACTGATATTTATGTGTTTATTGTTAATAAATCCGATTATTAACATTTACTTTACTTTTTCAAATAGTCATGATTTACTATCGTGTTGAAGGTAGCGCTTGCATTTTAAAACAAAAAACATAACAACCGAAATGTATTGAAAAAAATCCTATTATTGAAGGTAATAATTAGTTCTTTCTAGTAACTAGTGCTTTTCGTTATTACTGATAAAACCTTATTTAAAGAAGACAATTCCCTCAATCTTTTATTTCAGTCTTATTGAAATTATTTCTTTATATGACTAAAGTAGATTTCATTTCTTGCTTTCCTCAATCTATTCGTATATCTTATTCTTTCGCCTTTATAATATCTTTCACTGTAACATTTTGCGTTTGTTTAATTTTCGAATTTTTTAAGGCCTAAAAGTTAAATAGATATAATTTCCTTTAGCTAACAGAGCTATATGAATATTTATAGGCATAAGAACGCCAAGTAATTCTACTCTACTTTCTTTTTTCTACATACTGAATCGTCTGCAAATAATTTGATGGAAAAGATAAAAAGAATGCTAACTTTACTCTGTTTTTTAGATTACTCAAAATATAGTATATAATAGATAAATGATTATGTTTACTTTAGTAATACTATATAAAAAAAAAGACGATATCACATATAATGAATAAAAAACGGATTAGTTACCAGTTGGCTACCAGTCTAAAAATTTATAGCATATAAATTACCTTATAGCCAGTGAAATAACCATTCATATCCAACGAATTAGGATCTACAGCTTTCCAATGGAAACTCGCACTTGTAGATGTTAACCTTTTAGAAGGGTCCAAGGAAAATTCTTTAGGTATTAGTTCTGGAGCTGTGGGGAAAATAATTTATATCTCTTTTTCCTTAATGAACAAAAAGGGTAGGATCTATTATACGAACTATTTTCACCACTATACCCGATCCATTCTCTTCTCCTCTGAGTTGTCTCTCCCCTGATATTTGTACTTGTAACGCTTATCAAGTACTCTCTAAATATGGGCACCATATTGATAACAAGTCTAGGATTTTTTAAAGCTTTCACTTTTTTATTTTGACTTTGATATGTGTTTGATTCTCGCCAACTAACAATATAACGAAAATTCGGTCCATTTTGTTCATTTAAAGGAATATGCTGTTGAAAAAAAGGTAAAAGCGATTTATAGAAGTCAATTAACGGCCTTTAAGATATATATTTCATGTTCTGAATCTTGAAGAGATTTAAAAATCTATTAAAATTCAATACAATATATTAAAATGTCACATTAGAGCAAAATGGTTATATTAAATAATAAATTACTTCTTTATATATATGAATATGTATATATATATATATATATATAAGTATATATATGTATATGTATCTATATATTTAAAGCACTTAATTTTAATTTATGATGGAAAACTATTTTTATGCAATATATAAAGCGTTTCAGACTATTTTAGCGTCTAATGGGAAATAGGCAAGAAATATTTTTCATGAATAATTTTTAAACTTTTGCTGATATACAATCTAGCATAACTGCTAATAAATAATAAATTACTAGTATTAAATGTATTATGTATCTAGAATGTATATTTACATGTAACAGGTGAATATAACAAATAAATAAAAATTGCGTAGTTATGTATTTTATTTTGCTTTTAACGTTGCCATTAAAAGCAGATGTTTAAACTAAAAGTCCTTAGGGTATGTAATAAGTATTCTTATTCTAGTTTCTAAAGATCGTTATTCATCGCCTTTGATATAGTTTGTAAAGAGATGCTATTTGTATAAACATGCGGAAATTTAGATTAATTTACTATTTACTTTTCCATACTTTACTCTTATAATATGAAAAATATAAATGTAATTTTGCAAGACTGTTTTCTCCTCGTCTATTTCCTGAAAAATCAAACTAGTTACCGGAAGTGGTAAAGGTTTAATGGATATTCTTCAAAGTTTTTCACGGATACAAAAGATAAAAAGAGATACAGAAATAGGGAAAGCTACCATCGAATTTAGTATACCTATTGAACTCTGAATGCACTTAAAGGGGTTTTAGCGGTAAAAATTTACTGTAAATATAATACAATAGCTAGAAAGCACCAAAAAAGCTTGTAGATTTAACGGTTGAATAAACTCGGCGGATGAATGAAAAGAGTATTTTAGCATCTTCACAGGACCGAGACTACTTAAGAAAGATTATCATTCATTTTTCTTGCTTTCCGTTATATGAATTGGGACTACCATTATTAAATTCAGATTGTTGTATTCCGTTCCAGCAATTATACTGAAAAAATTCTCTCAGCGGGAAGTCGTATTCAACTAGAACGGAATTAATTACACGTCTTTCCATTAATCGTATAAGAAATTCTGTTTGTGACTCACTTTACCCATTAGCTAACCTTTACCTCAACCCTTTACCCTCCCCTCTCCTTCCTTTTCCTCTCCCAATGTCTAAAATCCCTGTGGCACACTTTCTTTTCAGTTTAAGATGTCCTAAATTTGATATATATACTGAATTAACGCTTATATATAAAGCAAGGAACCTTGAGAAAATAAGAAAATATAGTCAAAAAAAGGCAGCGATGAAAAAATTCATTATCCTAATTCAAAAGAATCCCATTGAGAAATTTTTACACCAAATAAGATTTTTGCACGCGACCTAAATCTTTGCCTTGTACTGTGCAGTAGTAAATAAAAAGTATTAGTTGTGGTCACGTAAAGCCTAATTGGTATTATACGAAGGTTAATTGCTTCACTATCCCATTGAAATAAACCAAAACAAATATACACTGAATAAACTAATAGTATAGAATATGCTTCTCTATATAAATTTATACCTATACAAGATAAACTGTATCATTTTTTTCATATACAAACAACAGTATCTTTACGCGACATAATAGCAAATTTTCCATATTAATTAACTTCAAATAGATATTCACATGTATTTTTTTTGTTATAAAAATATACTGCTGTATTGTTTATTCTAGACGATGTATCTAAAAGATGAGATTTTTTTTCTTATGATACGAAATGAATTTCCCAGGGGAATAGCTTTCTATGCAAGAGTACAAAAGTTATATAAAAGTGGATGCTGTACTTTAATGTAGATAAATTTACAATATACATACTCTTCTATCATATACATTAAGCGGGGGAAAAAACTTGCCATGCAACAATTACTATATTAATATTGGCTATGCCCTTAATTGACATCGAAGCTTTTGTATTAAATTGAAAGACTTTCCTTAAACTATCTCTAAAAATCTATTAATTTATTAAAATTTCCCTCCTTAAATCTAATCGTATATTTATAGTTACGTCTTTTTTTTTGTGAATAACGGTAGGCAATATAGAGCGCATTCTTCTCTCTCTTCCCCTTATGCGTTGGCAGGGCAGGTGCTTTCTCGCCAATATCATAAGTATAATCCAAATTGAAAATAATCATATGAAACTCGACCACAAAGTCTACAATAATTCTAATAATTCTTGCTATTCCTTATTAACTGAAGGTAAATTTTCATATCTTCAATATATAATTCTTAAGCGAAAATTGATATTTTTCCTACAAGAAAACAACGTGACAAACTAGATTTTTATTATACCATATCACTGTAAGATTGATAAGAATCTTTCTTTCTATAGACCAGTACACTATTATAACATTGCTAACTATGACGTCTAATTTTTAGCCTTACCTGCCAAGTTATGACCATTGTACCGGGACTTTCGTTTACTGTACAAACTCTTCTAGGATTATTTCGAGGAACTTCAGCATCTGTTTGACAGGATTTATCTGCAACTTTTGATGATTTTGACCAGCCTATTCGATTTCTAGCTTTGACGCGGAAGGAATAATTGCCGTAGGGTGACATTCTAATTCTCTGGAAGAAAAAAAATAGTGGAATTTAGAGCAAAATTTTGCCATTGGTTAGACAAATAAACTTTCAGGATGGGTTACTTCAAAATTTTTCGATTTATAGAATAAATAACAGAAAGGAAGAGCTAAGTAACAAATCGAAATAAAAAACAAAAAAAAGTAAAGGGGAAGAAGAAAAAGTGTAGAGAAAAATAATGAAAAATAGGTCCTTAAAAAATTTATGAATGAAGCACTCCATTAAAATCAATTATATTTAATACAAAAAGAGAGAGATGACTGTCAAAAGCAGATTTTACTGTTTAATCCGAACAACAGCCACCATTCTTTTCATCTATACGAATGTTTCAGTGACGTGTCAAAGATTACTCTTATTGCACTTCCTACACATTTCTGTTTGTTGTAAATGTTATATTTTGTTTAAAAAAAATGAAAAAAGAATCATTCCATTCCCCTTTTTATTGTTCTTAAATCTTTTTTATGACAAATAACTTAAATATATAATTTTTATATGATTAAAATGATTTTATCATCCTTACAGAATTCTTTTATAGATGTTTTCCTTTTAATTTTTTTCGATGAAGATATAAAACCTTTTAGAAATGCATAGAGCAATAACAAAACAACCGGTTATCTGAAAATGGAATTATTTCTTAAAAGAGAAATTAAACGGTTGGTTTAACGTCAAGAAAAACTATTTATAATGATTAATGAACTAATTTACAAGTATATAAGTTAATATATAGCTGTTACTGGTATCAATAAATAAAATTAGACTAGAAAACATAAAGAGAAATACTGCGAATTATTTGAAAAGAAATATAAAAAAAAACAAATTTTTTACGTAAATCGAAAAAATATAATTCAACAAACCAATAATTTTTAACAAACAGATCAATAGTCAATTAAGCTTTAACACTAGCATAGAAAGGACTAATAACAGTTCTAGGTTAATTGACATTAAATGAGAGAGATTGTTTTTAGATAAGAGTATATGAAACACTTATATATATATATATACTGTATATAAATTATATATATACAGCTTAACAACGGTAAAAGTTACGATCGAAAAAAAAAGAAATACTCTACGAAATAGTTTCTTTAAACAACTAGAACAACGGTATACATCACAATAGATCGTTTGATAAACAATAATACAAAAGTCTACACCATTCCCTTTAAAAGATTCTTGAAATTATAATCAAAGAAAGATATGTTTAGGGAAAAAATAGAACATTTCTAAAGGTTCTTTTAACTGTCTTTTTCAACTTTATGTTTATTTGTAAATATGTAAAGTTTCCTTAGTTTCTTTATACAAACAACAAGTTAAATTTAATCATTTCTTGTATTATACTGTAGGGAAAGTTTACATTATCCTTTCTCTACAAGTTTGCTTTTGGTATGCATACATTGTCTGCTTTCAAGTACCAAAAGTACCAAATTACCTTACCAGGAAATACACCTAAAGTCTATTACGCGATAATGTGCTCTATTTACTCAAAGAACAAGAAGGAACAAAGGGTGGCTAATTTCCCTATAAATAGGTACTAAGCTTACCTTTCGCGTCTTGTCTCCCGATATTCCTGTTACATTCATCCAGATGTCAGGTTCATAACTTGAATTAAATTCTATGGCAAACTCAGATATATTGGATTTAGTATCTGTTTTCCATTCAACTGTAGCGTATTGCTGGTTGCAGAATAAGACAATTTTCGGAGGAAGAGGCCTGTCGAAGACTGTAAGGTTGGCTTGTGCTCCAATAGAACCCAATGAACATCTATAAACTCCATTATCAGTCCTTCTTACATTGCGGATTTGAAGTGTATTATTTTCGAAGACTTTGAAACGTTTACGTGATTCAACATGTAATCTAACGTTGTTTTTGTACCTGTCAATAAATAATTAGTTTTAAAGGTTTATTTTGACATTTTAATCTATATGAGATGCTTTTTCATTATGTAATTGTATCTTTTGTATTTATCATTCTGTCTTACTACAACCATAATTAAATAGACTAAATTCTCTATATTTTCATTAAAGATGCTCTACCAGAGCTGCTGATTAAACAGAATGTTATTATTAGTTTTTTGTTCATATTTTACATAGGTGGATATTGCAGTGTTGCTGTTACGTAAAATTAAGAAATGCAGCTACTTTTTCTTCATATTTTTACAAAGCAAATATAAAAAAAAATCTAACAAAAAAAAAGTAAGGTCAAAAATGTCAAATTAGTCATCAATTTGGCTCTGATCGGATAATTTTCCTCCAATAAACTATTTTATTAAATCAAACCCTGGATCTTGAATAAACTTAATATATTAAACGCAGGCTACAGAGTAGCCTTAATATTGACTATAACATTAAATAAAAAAAGTTCATTTGATCTATTGGCTTTATATAAAAAGTAAAACTATAGAAAAGAAGAGAATTTTTTTAAATATAATTAAAATATAATTATTTTATACTAGTTTTAACTATTTTATCATGATTTTAGACTGATTTATGACTAATCCAAAATTATTCATGAATTATTCATGAGAGAAAAGACTATTTAAATATTTCATTTAACTAATACATTGGTGAATACATATATATATATATATATATATATATATATATATGAAAATATACTGTAGATATTAAATTATTGCTATATACATACGAGGAAATATGAAAGCACTGTCTTCCCTTGTACCTAAGTATTTTCATTACTTTTTTGCAGCATTAGCGATTAGATATATTAATGCAGTTATCAACTTGTATTAGAAAGGTTAAAAGAAAAGGTTGAAGACATACTACAACATACTAGACAGCTTCTTATACTTTCGAAGCCAAAAAATTGTCTGTCGTAATCAATTAATTTCATTGTAAATACTTTTTTAGTACTTAATAGTATAGTCTTTAATCGTTTGTCACTTGAGGGCTTAAGAATCTGTGTGAAATTACCCATGAAATAACAAGAAACAAAAAGTACTTTGATACACGGTTTAAAGGGTAAACAGATCATCTTAAAACCAAATAATTTAGAAAACTGTTTATCTTTAAGTTAAATATAGACTAATATATTTTATATGTAAACTTACCAGGAAACTTGACCATTTTCTACTTTGCAGTCCAATGTTGCTGTACTTCCGGCGTCGAGTCTTGACGAAGTTGGTTGTTGAATAATACGCCCTGTTTATTGCAAAATTGTAATCGCGACGCTTTTTATCTTTCGCTAATTTCCGGTCGCATTTCGACGTTCTAACGACGTTTTACGGCGTCCATCAAAGCTTTCGAAATGGAAGTTGGAAGGGGTATGTTTGCCGAGTAAACGCCACTTTGTAAGGCAATAAGTTTGCATAGTTTCGTCTGCCGAGCTTTAAAAATCCGTTTTGAATTTCGCGTAGAGTTTCAATAAAAATAGACGTTTTGTTTGCTATCGGCGTTCACCTGCCTCGCTTTTCATAATGCTTCTCTATTGAAAGGCCTTTGCTCAACAAACAATCGCTTCTTATATCGAACGTATCTTATACAAACTCGAAACTCTCATCAGCGTCCATATATAAACTATCTTTAGGGTATTAAATTAGCCAAGATTTATTTATTTATACAAGTTGGAAACTTAATTGAAGAGTCATAATAAGCTGGTACCGTATTAATATTTGGATCTTTCAGATCCGTCGTCAAAGGTTAATTAAAGAAAACGATCGTTAGGATGCCTGAGTAAGACGGCTGGATGAGCCGGATCATCACTAATTACTTACCTTCGTCCTTGGCCAAGCCTATCGTAAAAAAGATAAATAGAAGAAACGTGCTAGTAGGCCTCTCCATATATTACGTAACGCTCATTTTGCTGAAAATACGATATTTCCTGTATATATTCTAATTATTTATATATGAATATCAATATATATTTTTACTCATAAAAATGATAATTCATTCTTACTTTTCAATATTTCTCCTCGGCAACGCCGCGAATGTTCCTTATTCGGTAGCTCTCTGTTTTACGAAGGATTATTTGTAATGAGGCTATTGAGGTCTTATTAATTAATTGGAATGTAATCAACTCCAGTTCCGGTAGACCATTAATTATTCTATTTCAAAACACTTTATAGATTTTGAAACTTCTGAGTTGTACCGACTGATTAGAATTCGATTTTTTCCCCTCTTTTTTTTATTCTTTTTATTTTATTGAATGTAAACAGGAACAAAAAGGAGATAAAATATTCTTAAGTAAAAAAAAACAAGAAAAAAAAGAGGAGGAAGTAGAGAAGGAGAAAGGAGGAGATTTAAGTGATCACTAGAATTCTGATCTCGTTCCAAGTAGAAAATTCTATTCGTTATTAAGTCATTCTATTTTTTTGCGTTATCAAAAATCTTACTCGTTTACAAAACCAAAAACTCTCTTTATTCACTTTATTTTCTTTTCTACCTCCTATTTTCCAGTCTATCCGTGTCTCCTTTCTTTCTCATTCCCAAACCTCTTTACACTGTGGTCTCTGTTCTATTCCTTTACCAAAACTCATTTTTTCTACTATTTGCTTAATTTACCCTCTATCAACCGTAAATTTTTCATTTTCTTTATAGAATTGTTTAACGTTTTTAGCTTATACACGCAACACACATTTTCTAAAATTTAGCTATTTGCTGTCATTTCTTATCTTTTCTTCTTCTCTTTACTACCTCACTACTCTTCTTCCCCATTTCTCTTCTTCCCATTATCTATTATATCTAGATTATTAAATAAACAAATAATATTCTATTCTACCGATAAAAGTATCAGTATAATAAAAAAGGTGATATTTAGTTGACCTTTACGCTTTTTCATTAGTTATCAAAGGAAGTATGGAAAAACGTTATAATTCTATGTTTAGAAACAGATAGTAAGAAATTTTTGATTTTATTTGTAAAGTATCCTTAAAAAAAGTAACAATTAATCCATATTTATTAAACTATCTAAGCAATATTCGGTAACTTTTTACTGCAGGATTGATAAAAATATAAACGAGTTAACAGGATGTTTATACGTGATATATTCCTCATGAATAATTCATAAAAGTAGAATTTTATTATTACCGATAATGTTCTATACTAATCAACATGATGGTAAATATAAATTAATAGGCTATCTAATAAGTATTAAGTAGAAAAAAATTAAAAAAAACCCTACATCAGTGTGATTTAACTTTCATTCTTTTACTAAAAAATAGAAGAATCAGTCATCAATCTCGCTAATCAAAGATATTACTAGGTAAGGAGAATTGACAATAAAATAGGCAATTATTTAAAAAGCATAGATTAATATCAAACTTGTTATATTTGAATATAATTCTATTTTAGTCATTACCGTTAAAATTGTTAATTGAAGGTGAATGTTCATGTTGTATATATTGTAATGCGTATTTATATATATGACAGTACACATAGTGTATAATATAAACATAGAATTTACTTTATAAACTATATATATACTGTATATATACAGAATATATATTTTACTTTAAATCAAATTTTCGTCTGTTCTTTATGCGTATCGACTTGGAGAAGCCAAAACGAATTTTTTACCAAACACCGAAGAAAATATATAGACGCCGACGGCAAAAATATCACCTTTGATTATTCATTACGCTAGTAATATAGAAAAAAGCGTGGAGACGACAGCCGCTAGCTGTCTAGAGATGTTTATAGTCAGTATAAGAAAGATATTGTCGAAGCTCAATTGTTGTTTAGATAAAAAAAATACAAAAATGCATCTCGTATTGTTTAATCTGCATTTTTTTTTAATTTCTATCTGACTGAAGAGCATTCTCTTATTATAATGAATACAATTTAATTCATTCAATGCACATAGTTTATTATATAGTTTAACGTCTACTAAATACAAGGTGTCTACTTTCCATTAAATGCCCAAGGCTACTTTACTTTCTCGAAGTTGATAGTTTTCATCTAAACTCTTTAACTATTGTACATTTAACGCCTTCTTTATCATCTTGTTTATTATAATTCAATTGTTTCAAGTTTTAAACATTTATATAGAGTAATAGATTTTGAAAAGAATAATATTTTCTTTTTAATGAACATTGAATAGCGATTATTTTAATAATGTAAATATCAGAAAGAACGTGTAAAAGAAAGCTAATTATCGGAGCTAAATCATTTCAGTTATACAATCCCATCATATTTTATTAGCGTCAAAATGTTGAATGAAAATTTCCCAAGCGTTTGCTATTCATAAAACGAGTAAAGGAACTGATAAAAAGAGCGAAAAGGTTAAGATTTACCAAGAAAAGACTCTTACCAATTTAAGATATATCTTTTTATTCTAAAAAAAACTCTTTCATTTAAAATTATAAATCTTAGCTTTGAACAGGTAAAAGCTTATGAAATGGAGGAAGTGTCTAAAGATATCTATATAGTTGCTCTTTTTATAGATATTTATTAAAATGACTCATTTTAATATTAAGAATAAGGAATATAAACACTAATATACAAGTGTATACACATATGCATGTATGTAGCCCTACGCTGTATGGCAAAAAGCAATAGGTAGGTATAGGGAGAGAGAGAGAGAGAGCAATGATTAGTTTATCAACCATCTTTAAAATATATTAAAATGTTTAAAATCAATTTCTTTAGGGGAGAAAGTTAGTTTTCATGAAATTCTTGTTTTTTTTTTTGCTAGATATGGAGTTGAGCGAAAGAGGATAAACGCAATCGGCCAGACCAGAAACAACACTTCTATTGTTTGTTAAAAGGACAATACTGGCAGACAAAAAATGAATGATTTAATAGGTTCTGGCGTCCCTATTGATCAATCGAATCATTTTACTAGAAAAAACATTCCAACGTTCAAAAACATATAAATCTTTTTTATCTTATTGATTAGTTATCATTTACATCTGCAATAAGTAACAAAACATGTAGAGGGAAAATGGGATTTGTTTGTAAAAATCTATGAATATACATACTTATAAAAAAAAAATTTTATGCTTTTTCATGAAATATTCAGAATTATTCTACACTTATTTATATACTTGGTCTGTTCAATTGTTCATATAAACAATCCTGACAAACTGCTCTCTAAATTCAACCTTCAATTAAGCTTTTAAGTGCATTTTTTTTCCAATCAATAGATAATCAATATATTAAACAAATACAAACTTTTCCAAAAGGTAAAATATAATAGACATTTCCGGAAGAAACTCACCTTACGTAGGAGTAGGAATATATCTATAAGCGTTGAAGTTATTTATTTTCCTTATTTAGCAAGTTTATAAAATTCTTGATTTCCCAACGCCGTTATGAATAGTACTACTAGGCTTGACGTTTCGCAACGTTTTTGTAGTAGCCTTTCTAGTAGACTTGTTTCACTCCACCTACCGTTAAAAAATTTTTCACCACAAGCGCCATCTGGATTTAAAAATTTCTTTGCCGAGACTTGTTTACCTTAACAACACTACAGATCAATCTTTAGCATATTAACAGGTTTATACTCTGTTATGCGATCGTGTCAGAACAGGAGATTTCAATGGTGAGCAAACGATTTTCTTTCTATAAACTCCACTAAAAACCATTTTCATTTCAAAGTAATTTAAATGCTAAATTTGATATATCCCATTAGAGAATTGATGAAGTTTTTCAATTAAGCTACTCGAATTGGAATAATAAAAATATTTCCCTATTTTTCTTTATTTTGATTCTTTATTATGGATAACAAACATTTTTTTATAGATATTTATAAATGATTTTCATCAATCCAAAGTCGTTAAAATAATTATCACAGTCTGAAATTCAGATTATAAAAATGATGGACTTCCAATTCCTCATTTCCATCAAATCATCTTTTCTCCATTGTTATTGCTTTTATAAAATATAAAGGAGATATATATTTATGTGCACTGTATATTGTAGATATAGGCGTATGTGCAGACTACATAACATGTCCTTCTTTTTGTAACTTGGACGCTTTTAAAACGTTATTCTATATATATATATATATATGTGTGTGTAATAATAATTATTCTGATCACAAGGTCTTTTCCTAGGCTAACAGTTTATTTCTATTAATCAAAAATATTTTCAACTACTCCTCCAATCAATAATCAACAATTTCGAGGTTAACGAGATATTATATATGAAAAAGTAGAGATTTTGTAAGAAATAAGCACTTTAAGATTAATTAAAGTAATTTTTATTAAACAATAAATTCACTATTATGAATAATTCTATAATTAGTTCATAATGAATTAATAGTGAAACTTTAACAGGCAGAGGCTGCACTAGAATTCCACCTTTCTTCAGATGAAATAGGTAGTTTATCGGATCTATCTGTAGATGAAGACGAATCAGCTGCGGTGTTGCCTCATCTCTCCAGACCTGAAAAAATTTGCTCGAATAAGGATATTACACAAGAAAGTCATGGAAAAGTTGAAAAGTATTGCTCTAAATGTGATCAATTTCTTTGTTTAAATTGCGTTAAAGCACATCATTTGACAAAGCTTACTAGAAATCATTTTCTTATTGATTATAAAGGAAGTTCAAAGAGCAAATCCGAAAAGCCATTGAGTAATTCAAAGAGAGAATGTTGTTCAAAACACAACAATGTAATGGATGAAAACTTACTGAGAGATAATTAATTTTTAAAACAAAATTTTTATCAATAGTTCATTGTAGCTTATTGAATATTTAAAAGTTAAGATTTCTTCTCTAAATTAACATCTTCACGATATTATATAATATTATGATAGATGGTTTTTTAAATAAGAGAGTCACATATCAAAGAGAACATAGTATTGGCAATAGAAAATATAAATAATTTAACATAGAAGGAGAGAATATTGCATAAATCATTTCCTCCCTCTCTCTATCATAGTTTGTTGAAATATTTCCAAAGTAATTTAGAATGGAACAGTAACGAAGAAAGAAGTTTCTCGTTTTTCTTCCCAGTTACTTCAAAGATAAAGAAATATTCTTTTTCTTTTTAGCTCTTTTTCTCCTTTTTTGACGCATTAAGCTGTAGTAAACAGATAAATACTGAAAAGTAGTTCTTTGATACGTTCTTCTTTGAATAGTTTTAAGAAGGTTTCTTTTTTTTTTGCATAAGGTTCTTAACAAAGTTTTTTTTCTTTAAATTTTAATTAAAATGTGTTTTTCTTTTCCTAAACGTACTTTTTCATCCATTAATGAAAAACAAAATAACCATCAAAGACTATAATTAAATGGTGGTGCTTTCAATGCAACTCTGCTATATGCGATGAGTGCCTTAAATCAACAGGATTTAATCATATGAGTCACAATGTCGCTGATATAGAAGATGCTGCTCATCTTCATATTGAACGACAATCCGAATTGACAAGCGAATTAACGAAAAAGCTAGCTGAATGTAACGGACATATCCATGTAGCATCTCAATTACAGGCGGTATTAGAGAACAATGCTATTGAAGTTGGCCATCAGATAGAAACCTTAACGACTACTCTACATAACCAAATTGAAGCGCAAAAACAACGTCTTCTACATAAAATTCATACAACAAGACAACAAAACGTTATGGCTCTTCAACGCCATCTATCAAATTTAGGCTCATTTCAAAAGAACCTCCTATATGTCTACAGAAAGCATTGTGACTCTTTCGACAATCATAATACCAATAGTGAGATTTTAAATTTTGGGGTAGAGCTGAAAAATATTTTAGAATATGATACAAAATTTGATTATGAAACTAATGTTATCACTTTAAAACCTGCAACATTTGAAGGCGGCCCATCAAATTTAATAGGAAGTTTACATATTCAAAATTCTCCCCTCTTAAGCTCGGATACAAATGAGTCTCATTTATCGCGCTCTTTTCCAAGAAGTTATTTAGAAATAGGATTAAACAAAAGCAAGAAAAAATCGTCAGTAGAATTACCTTTGTCTATGTCCCTCTCCTCATCTTTCAGAAGACATTCCCTATTTAAGAGAAATGTCTGTCTTAAACCTATCTTTCAATTTGACATTTACGACAGCCTACAACTTACATGTCTCTTACTCTATGACAAGCATCAAATATTTTTAACTGGTCGAAAAGGTGATATTGGTATCATGCAGATATATGAGAAGCAAGGGAAATACCTTAAAACAATTTTGGATTCTGGTGATGCCTTTCAAATGGCTGGAAATAGGAAAAACTCAAAAATTTTTATTACTGAACCAGATAAACGTATCCTCACGAAGATGAGATCAAAAGATTTTAACGTTAAAACATTGGTAACTAATAAACGGGTATTAGGCGTCACAGTTAATAGCGAAGCTGACGTTATATTCTCAGATGCAGAGACAAGATGTATTTATAAATGCTCTAATAATGGTCAAAATATTAAACTACTAATCAAGAGTGAAGGAATCAATCATTCGTTTAAAAAACCAGTTTATTTGACAACAGATACAATGGATAATATTTATATTACTGATATAGAAACAAATCACGTCATTTGCTTCAGACAAAACGCAGAAATGCTTTTTAAATATGGGGGCCCAAAGCATTTAAACAAACCTGGTCAAGTCTGCATTGATAAAGATGGATTTGTATTGGTAGCAGATGAAAATAACGATAGGATTGTTTTATTAGACGATCAAGGAAAGTTTGTGAAAGTTTTACTCGATTCGAAGAATGATTTATGCAAACCGGTTTGCCTTGCGTTAGATTTTATTAAGCAACCCCGCCTATTTGTTGGAGAAAGTTGTGGGGTTGTAAAAGTGTTCAAATATTTAACAAATGAGGATAAAGAAAATCAATAATTTAACAGTTTCCCCTCCTATTACGATATTATAACGATATGGAATATATAATGAGGATTACGAGCTGTTAGACTCTAATTATATACATATATTATATACAAACGAACTTTAGTCCTAAAACGTAATTATCCACTAACTTATAACATTAAATGATTTAAGGTGTGACAATATGAAAGTCGCTCATTATCAAAAGTCACGTGTGTTGTGCTTATTTTGACCTAATAAAGAACAGGAGAATATAGAATTTAGACGTACTTGTATTTCATCCCTTATTCTTATCCATCCAGCTCTCTTTTAATAATCATTATGTGGATCTTATTAGCATAAAGAAGTATTAACTTTAAATATTAAACAGGCAGTTACATATTTCAGCGAGCGTCTTGCTTTTGTTCGTTATTCTTTAGAGTACCTATATATTTAGTATTTACTTTTATTCTAATGGATTACATATCTATTCTAATGTAACAGAATTATTAGGTCAGTCAGGAGCATATATAAAGTATTAGTTTAATCAATATTGTAAATTTTCAATAATCAGGATCTCTAGGAATTAAGCAGCCGTCTGGTCTACTGATTAGATTTTAGTCTTTTTATAATATAACAGCCAACGTTTATGGGGTAGAAACACTTAAATGTTTAAGAATCCTCAACAATCAATTATCAATAAAGGAGAAGAATGAAGTAGGCTGTTTATGTCAGCTCTTCTTATTCCAACAGTTTACTATTAACTTATATACATATAAAAAGAAAGAGGAATAACCAAAAACAAAACAAAAAAGTACATTTCTTTATTTACAGTTCAATATTTTGGCTAAAACTGTTTACCCAGAGAACGCATTAGTGACGACGAGTGATGTAAACAGTAAAATTGAAGAGTCGATTAAAACTCTTCTTGCTATAATAACTAAAAGTAGATTGGTTAATACAAATAGTATTAATTAATGAATAAATATAATAAGATATAAAGAATTGAAATTAATTAGTTTTTAATATATAAATGTATATATATTCTGTATATATACATATACATTTTCATACATTTACTGTCTCTTTTCCCGCATCAATTTCCTCGTGTAAGTTCTATTAAATAATATAAACTATAAGGGAGATGATGTGTAATCAGGACAATTAATTCTACAAATATGTATTTAATGTAGGATTATGCTTTTCATTACGTATTTCAAGAGAGAGAGAGAGGATGAAAACTTTGACTATCAAGTTGAAAAATTGATTTGTATTCCATCGCAAAAGTATGATTTAGCACATCAAAAACGAGAAAGTTACTAAAATTACAATACAATATATTTAAATAGAAAATTTAAAAGATAAAAAAGAAATGTTATATTCATACATTTACAGAACCAATTAGAAAAAATGTTCTTTATTCGTTGATTAGATGATTTACAATCTGGTTTCCCCAGTCATTGACACTCTTCTACTAAATCTGATTTCAGCTTCTTTCAAGAAACAGAAAACTTGATGTAGATTTTTTCTAAACCTCTTGCTTAGTACTGAATAAATGATAAAATTGACAGCCGAATTTACATTCAGCAATAGTTTGGCTATATGTTCTATATAGAATAAGGGACATCTACAATAATTGCAGAGAGTATACCGCAATAACATAAAAATTGTTATAGGAAACTGACAAATTATAGTAACTCCTACAACGACAAGAAGAATAAATGTCACCTCATTCTGTCGTTTCATTGCTTCGTTTCTTTGCTCTTTACTCATTTTATTCTTAGATAAAGCTCTGGTTCTTCGTGATCTGAGAACCCAAAGGATTTTACCTGTCATTAGTATAAGTAGCAAAAGAGGAGCATACACTTGAAATATGCTGGTTAAAACTTGCTTATAAAGGAGTTTATAATTATAGCTATTGCCAAATAGTGTTTTATTTTCTCTTAGATATCCTGATTCTTCTCTATAGATGTTATATTCGAAAAAGACGGGAATATTAAAGCAGATAATGGAAAAAAACGCTATGGCAACGTAGATCTTACAACTTTCCACTTTCCAAGTAAATTTAGCCTTATCCGGTATACAAACAGCCCAAAATCTAATGTATTGATATTTTATAAAGAATAATAAGAATATTTTAGTTTTTGTTAAGAAAATGTAACTATTTAATTTTAAAAATTAGTTAAATCTATTTAATTATTAAAACAAAAGATGAAAATTACAAACGTAATTATCTTATTAAATAATTTTTAACAACAAACTATTATTTATCATTTACTACAGTTTACCATTTATATTAATTATCAACAAGGCTTAGCATTATTAAGGCGTTATAGACCAAAAAAAATGCTATTAGCGTAAACTGATAATATTTCAAACGTATTTTTATTTTCTAATATATAACTTGAACTAGATTTATTGGAGTCTAGTTCACTTATTTTCATCTTTACGTGGTAATGATCTCAACGGATATAAGCCTAAACAGTTTTTCGTTTTAGGATATTATTTTTAGTTGAAAGCTCTCTCTGAGAAAAGTTTATAAAATATCAATGCATAAAACCGATTAGCTGCAATGAGGACTGATGTCCATAAGCTAAACATATGAAATATTGGAACCAAAATCCAGAAATATCTTATGTAAGGCCAGCTTGCCCACCAATTGGTGCAGCCACCAAAAAAATCACAACCGTAGGGAATTCCATCAACAAACATGATAGTAGTAAGTAATACAAGATCACTTAAAGCAAGGGTTTGTAATAAGAAAACGGCTGCACTAGATTTCTCTTTTGTAAAGGCGATAAAGGATACAATGTTACCAGGTATTCCTAAACAGCATAATAAAGAGTGAAATATCGTCCAAATTACGAAAAGAAACGTGGTACACTTTGGATAGAATTTTTCAACTGATGCCGTCGTCATCTCGAATGTGTCACCCATGCCTTTTAGTTTATTTTAACGAATTCAGTGTAACAACAGTCTTTAATATCTGCAGATAAAAAATATCACATGGTATTTGTATTTTGTTTTTGTACATGCTAAAGACAAAATATGCTGTATAAAAATCTTGTTCGTTGTGCGAACGATACGCATATTGTATATATCTATATACAGCCTGATCTGTGCAATTCTATACATATATCTATATATATATATATATTCAGATATATAACATAAATATACAGATACACACAGTATATAGCTTGATACATACAATTTTATGTGGCAGATATATTAAAATAGTTACATTTTAGCCTCAACTTACGTTTATCATTCAGAATTACAGCTTTGACTTTGACAGAAGAGTATTTGTTATCTACTGTACATGTGTACTCGTACATTCAATGTACATAATAACTCTGAGAATCTCGTTTATAATTAGAATAGTGGCCAGTAAAAAACTACTATTGGCCTACTCTAGTTTACCATCTCCTTTCTATTTTATCAATACTTACTAAGAGAGTTGATTGGTTCTTTCCAGCTAAGCTCTTTTACAGCGCCTCTTTTGTACTATGTCAATCTGATAAAAAAAAGCAAATAAATTATACTTGAAAATGTTTACGAACTTGTTTGCAAACTTCCCGCCCAATTATACTTATTTTCCATTAGACGGAATCGGAAGTGAATTTTATAACATGTGCAAGACAGCCTTTAAAAATGATAGGGTAAAATCGACTGTCGGTTTGCATAAAGGATTTTGGGAATTGTAAAGCTACTTGAGGCTATTAGACTTATAAATAGACAATTTGTAATAGAGTTTCTTAACCTTTCTAGTAATTTCCATAAATAATTTCGATTTGCAACAAATATTCAAATCCAAATATAGGCTTTAATTCTCCATCAAAATCTTTAGAAATGCTAAATTGAATGTCTAAATCGGAACTGAGTGAAAAATATTCGTATAAGGAAAAAAAAAGAAGATACTTATCGTAATTTTAATTACAAAGACTTTGTAAAAAGTTTCCTATCCTTTAAAAAAAAAAGAAAAGAAGATATATTTCACTAAAATAATACTACGCTGATATTTTTACAAAGAGACGCAACAGAAAGCTAATTATTCTTTTATCTCATTTTGAGATAAATGATTCCAGGATAACATTTTCACATCATAAAGTTAACTTTTAAATGACTATTAAAATTAGCTTTATCTATTTAGGAATTAAACCAATAATGAGTAAATGATATTCAAATTGTTAACAGTATGGTAATTATTCCATTCAGTTAATTAATATAATATTTTCTTATATTTGACATTGTTTAGTGACTAAATACCCTTGAAAACTTAGTTATTAACAAATTACACTACACGGTTGGTTAACAACTCATTAGAACTAAATTTTAAAAATGTCACCTTTGACATTATTATCGAAAATGATAAAATTAGCTTTTGATAGTAATCTTACCTTTTCTATTGAATGAAATAAAAAAAAATGCTGATTTCACTTTGACTTCTTTTACGTTCCCTTCAAAATATTTTATAGTAAAGTAAAAGATATATAGGAAAGCACTATAGAGGTCTCTGATGAGTTGTTTACACATTATTTTTTTGTGATGGTTATCGGATAATGCATATATATTCAATTTTATTCTACAACTTTTCTCTTCAACTAACAAGAGAAAATTTGGCTTATTAACAATAAGAAAAGTCTTAATTAAGAGTTTTTCCTAAATACAATTTACATCAAATATATAGACTACTGTAAAAACAAATATATTTCTTTCCTTGTGCTATGTACTATAAGAACAATTCAACAAACCAAAACTCACTTTTATAATGTTTTAAAAGAACAATAATAATGATAAGAATAGTAATATTTTAATTATAAACTGTTTTCTTTACTTTCCCTTCTAAAGATGAACTTTTTAATTATTTATTTATAAAAATTTATTCATTGAGAAAAGAATAGTTTTAATCTTTGCCTTAGGTATTAAAAATAATGAAAAATTTCACACTTTTATAATTAATTTGTCATTTTAAATAGAAACTATCATTATTGAATGAACTTTTCGAAATTTAATACCAAGAAAATAGATTTCGTTTAGTTTCGGTTTACAGTCTAATTTAAAGTTGAAAATATCAAAATATAAAACATCTACAAACTCCATCATTCATCTGAAAAAGGCATCATTTATGTTTGAATATTCATCTTAATTTTAAGGATCACTATGTTTAGATATATGTATATCGTTTACGATTTTATGCAAATATGTTATACGTCCATATCAACTTCCCTTTGAAGAATTATTAAATTACTTATTGAACATATCTTCAGTTCCTTCGTATTCAATGCTTTTAATCTAAAAACAGATTCATAACAAGCATAATCTTTTAGCATAGCGTTGAAAGATTACTCACTCTTTCGTCTTTTGTTTCCTTATTTTATTCTTTTATGTATAAGAGAAATAGCACTTTTATATCTAACATGTATATGGATTTCAAAGTACTTTTGAGTAAGTTATTGTTAAAATAAATCAGTCATGTGAATCATTTGCGATTTTTGTATCGTGGATAGAAATCTGCATGAGGAGATTTTAAAAATTCTCTATCTTTCTTTGATAAAACTACTTTTATTCGATAAGGCAACAAATAATACTTACAGACTGTTTTATATCAATGTAAAATTCTCTTAGTTAACTGTACATATTATAAATCTCCTTTCTAAAAATATCTAACAGACTTCCTCAATACACTAAGAAAAGCAAACAAAAACTAAAGAGATAACCTAATAACCATATCGTTAATAACTATTTCTTAGTAAATTTAAATTATTCACATTTCTCATGCCAATTAAAAGAGGTAAGCAAAATTTACTATTTATTTAAGACATCTGTGTAAAAGACAGATAACTTAACATTTATTTAAAAAATATTGATATTTTTGTAAATTAGAAATTGGCAATGTAAAAAT